AAAACGGCATCATCCCGGGCTCCGAGCCGAACAGCGAGAAGCACCGCTCATCCGAACGCACCTGAGAACCGCAGCACGCTCAGCGCAGACGATAAACGGCAGCTCTCAGCTCGGGAACGAGCGGCAAACGCGAAACGCCAGCGGCCACGCGTAACCCGCCGCCCTACGGAGCCCCCCGGGGCCGCCCGCCTCGATACCCGCCGCGCCCGCAGCCCCGCCAGCACCGCTTCCGCTTCCGCGTGCCCCGCCATTCGCCCGGACGGCAGCCGGCCCCGCGCCGCTGGTTCCCGCCCGACGGCCGTGCGGTGCTCGGCGCTGCCCCGTTCCGGGCTTTTACTGCCGCCCCGCGTCTGTTTTATCGTTGTCGAATGGCTGCGAAGGGCGGCGGGCAGCCGCTCTCAGGCAGCTCCTGGGGCTCCGAATTGATTCGGGGATGAGAAACGAGTGAGCACCGCGCCGGGCAGGAAATGCGTTGCTGTTGTGCGGTGGTGGCTGCAGCGCTGCTCCGAGCTGGAAGTTGGAAAGCTTTTCGCCGATCCCGCACGGAGTTCCACGCCGTGGTTCTGGATCTGTCTCGCGTCACCCGAGCTCTGAGTCCGCTGCTTTCTCCTTTCTCTGATGCAGGCTGCGCTTTGGGCCGCGTTTCCCTTTGCAAGAGAACTGCTTTTTATTCTCCGACCAAACGGACGGAAGGGGGTTTTTTTGCTCTATCGGATCCCTGTGGCACGTGGTGACGCGGAGGAAGAATTCTGCTGGGCTCGACAGATTCCCCGTGCCCAGCCCTGGGAGCGTGGCTGGCTCCTGCTGCCCGCCTGCAGGAACAGCTGCTGCTAATTTGTCTTCCGTGGGCAGAATGCCTGAGCATGGGAGCACCCATCGCAGGGCTTGTGAGCCCATCCCCAGCTCCCGCAGAGCTCTCACACGGCTACAAAATGCAGCTGTTGTTGTTTTGATACTTAACACAGGTTAGCGCTCTGCCTGCTGACCCGATAGTTTGGTTTCCCCCGGCACCAATGCGCACGCAGGGCAGGTTGGAGGTTCACAGCGCTGCGTTTTGAGCCACTGTGACAGCCCACAGAACCAGATGCACTGCAAGCAGCAGCATCTCCACTTTAGGGCTCATCTCTGCTTTACAATGGTTTTGTTATATACAAAAAACCACAGACTGGTAACAGACTCCCTGAATAAAGCCTGCTGATAGCCCACAAGGCTGTTGGTAAGGAAAGTCCAAGCTTGTCTTGATTTAAAGCTTTGGTATTAAGATAGAATGGTTGCTCCCCACACAGTGTCACTCCAAAGCCTTTGGGAGCTCCTTGCCTTGGACGGGACGGAAGCAGTGGACACATGCATGGTCATCACGTGCACTGCTGTATCATTTTCTCCTGTCAGCCTGAAGGAGAGCCCAGCTCGCTCACAGCTGTTCCTAAAGGAGATGTGGGAAGTGAGAGCTCAGCTGCAGACATGCCACAATGGCCTGGCAGAGCTCATCCGGCCGCTCAATCTCTGGAGCACTGCAGTTTTGCTCCTCCCTTTCATGGGAGGCAAATCTGTGATGTTTTTTTGCCTCCCTCCATCCACTGCAATCTGAAGGGCATACAGAACACCCCCTGCCTCACCCAGGACCTGTCTCCACATTCTAAAGGAGGACTACAAAGTGAATTGCATGATAAATTGCAACTACAGTTTAAATGGAGTCAAGTGAATGCTGAGGAGTTGACATCTTTACCATTCGGTCAGCCCTACTCTCTAGAGCTACCACTTCCCATCCTTCTTCATCAGCTAACACAAGGAAGGGATGCTACAATCACCAGTGCTGTAGGTCAAAGTCCCACTTGACTTGTTTGGATGATCTCCTGGAGTTGGTTAAAATCCAAAGTGGCTGAACTCTGGTTGAGATGCATGTAGATGCGGCTGCCATGTTTCATCACCTGCTCTGGTGTGCATTCCTTCATTTCATTGGAGCTTCCCCTTCTCTTGCCTGAAATGTGTTGAAAAATTAAATGTAGTGGCCAAATATCTTGGACTGTGTGTTTTAAAATCTTGGTGTATCCATTGGTATCTGACAACACAAGCTTATGTAGCCAAAGAGAAGTAGCTACAAGCTAAGTGGAAGCTGACTCAGCCCTGCAGATAGATACATGGAAACAGAGGAGCCATCCTCAGTCATGAGCTAGCAGATCAAATTCAGACATGACACAGATCACATTATAAAGGATATATGAGCAAGTGCTCCTTGTAGCCTCTGTGCCACAGAGAACAAGTGAGTCAGCTGGTAGCAGCAGCAGAATTTATCCTAGAGCCCAAGACAGGAAAAAAGAAACCACAGAAACCTCCCCAGTAAATGTCTATAACCTTCCGTTCTACCTTGGCCTGCTGCGTTTGTTCCTCCAGCTTTCTATTGCTTGAGCAATCCCTCTCATACCACCCTTCTCCATTTAGGTCACTTCTGAATATAGCCCATTTGGCCGGGCTGCAGAGGAAGTCAAGTTGGGCCGCCTCCTTAAAGGCTCACTCACATTTCAAGGCAGGCGTGCCGCTGTGGTGCATGCAGAACAACATGCAGAACATGCCGTCGTGTTTGGGAGGTGGAAAATGGTGAGTGAGCATAAAAACCACTTGTGGGCAGAGCACCGCATCCCTGCTCAGCATCTCTCCTCCAACACAGCACTGCACACCTTCAGTGACCTGCCTGTGCACTGCCTATGATTCTTGGAAGAGCTGCAGGCATGCAGACTGTCCTGCACACAGCAGGATGTGGCTTACAAACAGTCCCATGTCAATTAGTGACTTCCTTTCATTTAAATCTCACTTGTTTTGGGGAATCCGGTATTTCAAATGCATTCTCTTGTGCATGTATGCACACACAGCACATACAAAATAAAGGCTGACTCAGAGGGTGGCACAATCTCTTCCCTACTGATGCAAATTAGGAACAAAATCCATCTTCAGTGCTGGCAAAGCCAGCATCCAGGTAAGGAAAAGAGCCTAAAGGGAGATGTGTGCAGATGTATCCAGGCTCATTTTGAGATGATGAGGGCCGAGAGGCAAAGCACAGCTCATACTGTGTACCCATAGATACAGGCACAAAAGCAACAGATTCTGGAGCCATGAGCCACAGCGCTCACAGACTGTGGTTGCAGCCACACAAACTGAGGAACCAGCGCTGATGTTGAAGATGTGCTTGCAGGGAGGCACCTGAAGAATTCCACGTTGTCCTCTTGATGTTTTCTTTGCTGTGCAGTGTGATGAAATGCACACCCCGTGCTGTCTGAGTGTCTGGCTGACCCCCTTCAGACAGCAGCAAAGAAACTCCTCGTATATTTAGAAGCCATGCTCTAAGGTTACGTATCAAGATACAGGCACACTGCTGTTTTGCAGAATGCAGCTGCCCTGGAAGAAGCAAAAGATGCTAATCTGATCCAGGAGCTGAGGCCAGCAATTTCAAGTTTCCATCTGTCTCTGCCTGTAATACATGCAGGAAGGAAAAGAGAGTTGGACTCTGGGCAATAAGTGGTGCCTTCAGCATGCAGGAAGACTGCAGAAAAAAACTGGAAGCCTGGAGCAGCTGTGAGAAAGGAAGACTATTCTCCTGACCAGGGCACAGATGTTGAATTGAAATACATCTTACTGCTTTTTTCCCCTCTCCTCTATTTCACAAAATAGCAAAAATCACAACATGCTCAAGACAACTCTTGTTTTCTCCATCTGCCTTGGCAGCTGCAATGCATAGTATTAACGGGTCAAATCCAAACCCAGACAGATGGTGATGAAGGACATGTAATCTCCCGTGCCTGTCATAGGTACTGAAATTTGTTTGCGTGGCTCTCAAAAGAAGGAGATGACATTAATTTCTCAGTCAGACAACAGCATCTTGCCTTGCACAGCTACTGCTGGCACCCAAGGTCTTGAGGCTCATGTAGTGAGATGTTATTTCCTCTTCTTCAAACTGGATTAAGATGCTGATTACCTCACTTTGCCTGGGTCCATCAAACCCACAACAGCATGATTTGGTTGGACAAGGAGTGCATTCATTTCCAGCACAAGAGGGGAGGAGAAGGATTTGTGTTCAACTGCACTTCTCAAGCATGGTTGGAAGCATATGCAAGCATAAATAAATGAAGAGAAATGATATCAATATATCAGTAAAGCAAAAATAAGATTACCTATGACACAGAAGCACTAAAGGACATTAGAGGAATTGCTGCATTTCCCCATATCTGTCACAACAAGTGGTTTAATATAAAGCTTTTATTTTTATACCAATCAATAGCACTGTGAGGTAGCAGCATTTATCTTCAGAAGCACCAAAGTTACAACGGCTCAATTCCCATTTATCCTATGAGTGAGATTTCAGAGATATTTATGAGCCTCAAGATGCAAGTTAGATTTCCACTATGGTTTTCAAAAGCATCCGAACAAACCAGGTGACTTGCTTCTATTGATCTACACTCTGCTTAGGCACTCCGACAAACTGCTTCAAGTTGTGTATCCTCTGATGCTCAGAGAACTTGGAAACTCTTTCTCTCCTCCCATTCCACGTGCTTTGGTTTCAGTGGCAGTGCTGGGATGGAATATTCTGTGCACAAAGTGTTACTGCAGTGATGCAGTGGTGTTCACCTGGATGAGTGCAATGCAAAGCAGTGGGTGCTGACCTGTGTCACCTGTTGGAGTGAGCTCACCTGCTGCCTTTCCCAGCCCTGGTAGGAAAGCCTCATTGAGAACACTGATGGCCCATTCTGAATATTGCCCCACCACTCTTTCTCTGGATGCTGCCTTGAAAACAAAGCCAACAGCCCAACCTGCTGAGTGGTAGCTCATCTCAAACAACTTCTGCACATTTTAGCTGCAGTGCAGATCGGTTCAACAGCACAAAGCAGGGCAGAAATCCCACGTTTGCTTCCAGTGACTTACCTCTGAAATCACCTGATAAGTTTGAGAAAGGGAAATCGCTGTTTGAAACAAAAAACAGGAAAGAAACTTCCCGCATACCAGAATGGAGATGAAGTAAAAGTGATTTTATTCCACTTCTCAATGACAGTTGTATCATATCTGATAATAAGGCAAGCTACTCAAAGTCCCACAAGACGTTATCAGACCACTGAAATAGTATTCAGAAAAACAAAGAGAAGTTCACAGAACAGCCACTTCTTGGGGTCATCACAACCAGTGGCCACATTCTGCCACGTACAAATTACATCAGTGTAAGTGCTGAAGAAATCAACTCATTCCACTGATTAAGAGTGAAGTTTTGTATTGGAGTAATTAAGGACAGGCTGCGCGTCACTGACTTCAGTGAAAAACAGAAGCTGGCAGAAAGAAAAGTGAAAAAAAGCACATTAAAAACACAATACCAAGGCACAGAAAATACATGCTGCTTCCAGGCATATGCTTTAACAAGTACAGATTGCTGGGAGGCTTTTTTTTTGCTTTTTTTTTTCCTTTTTTTTCTTGAATAATAGGCGTACCACTGCCAGGCATGATTCATTGCTCACGTGCACCTGTACAACTCCCATGCATTTCTGGGTATTCAGTCCAGATTTATGTTACTGCAAGGAGAGTAAGTGTAAGTTGGCATCGCTTGCTCGAAGGTGTAGGAACAATCAAAACAAGTGGAGCCACAGTCACCAAAGATGCTGCCATCTGTGCCAACGCTCGCAGCTCGCTCCTCTGAACACGTCATATTTGGGTGATAAAAAGAAATACATTCTTTCCAACAGTTTTCAGCTAATTAAAACTAGTTGTCCCACTCTACACTTTCGTAAGGTATTGAGAAACTGCAGTAATTTAGAGGGCATCCATTGTGCAGCCTAAGGCTGTTCACTGAGGGGAAACTCAGGATCAGCAAGTCTACGTGAATCAGTGAGTGTAGAAAAGTCTGTCCATCTCCGTGCTGATATATGGACTATTCATAGCAAGACGAGAGGGTGAATTAAAAATAAGACAGGAACAAAGCAGAACACAATGAAACAACGCGACTTGCTATAGGAACAGAGGGATGAGAAAGAACATCTATTTAAAAAGAGCTTTTGTGAGATAAAAAAAGAAAAACTTCTTATATACATGGAGTTTAAAGAGGAAAATGTGATCAGTGCAACTTTAGTGCAGGTCTGGAGCGGAGTTAAGGGAGTTCAGCAAGGAAGGACAACAAAACAAGAGGAAATCAATAAAAATACAGATGCTACGGAACAAAAGTAACTTCTAAGAATGAAGGGATTGAAATCGGTCCCAGGTGGTGAAAAACCCAATGCAAAGACCTAAAGGCTGGGGGTGACAGGAGAAAGCAGCCACCAAGTCAGAGTACACCCACAGCATTACAAACTCACGCTGTGGGATAAACCACCAACCCGTTGTTCTGATTCTGTTATGTTGAGACTATTGTACAAGAATACAAAAACCCTTCACGGCCTGATCCAAAACCCACTGAAGGTGACAGGAGTTCCACCAGCTCCAGCAGGCTGTGCATCAGAGCTTACAGTGTGCACTAGAAACAGTCAAGACAGGTTGGCTTTGGCTTGGCTCAGCCAGGGAACGTCATGGACCCAGCACACATTTCATGTAAGTGAGAAAGAAAAGGGAGCTGTTAGGGCAAGGTAAGGGTAAAATTAAATTAGGGTAAAATTAAAAAAAAAACATCAACACTTCTTTATGCTGAAGTTCTGTATAAATAAATAATTTGGAAAACCTGGTCACGCCATGCTGATTTACTAACTGGGCTATCATTGCGTCCATCAGCAACATGCCTCTGCAGACTTGTAGGGTCAAATCTAACAGTCTGGAAAGATGGGTTTCCTTTTCTTCTTACTTTTCCTCTCCTGAGATTTACATGGTGATGTATTCCAAGTGCAGTCCTGGTCTTCAGATAGCCTGCTGCAAGGACACAAAAATACGTTTTGTAAGGGGGAAAAGACAGAGAGTTTGCCTTTTGAGCTTAAATTATTAATTCTACAGATCTAATGGATACATTATTCAGTATCACTTGTACTCTTAAAAAACATCCCTCTAAATTAGTGGTTCAATACTGCTTTGAATCAAAGCAGTGTTTTTAATGGCACCAGGTATCTGTCAGTCTGAACAGAATTTTTCAATGCATGCTGGGATCTTTCAGTGGCAGGGTATGGGCTCTTACTTTGCTGAAGTCTGTGCCCTGTGCTTTGCTATCAGCACATCGGTCCCTGCAGTCAGACAAGCAGGCTTCAGTGAACCTTGCTTTGCTGTGGAAAGGCTACTAACAGGCTTCATGAAAGAATGGGAGAATGGAGGTACTGGGTGAGAGCAGACCCACAGCATCCTGCCCCTAACAGTGACGTGCTGCAGACGCCTAGAAGTGTGTAAGAAAAGCCCAAATCCTGGAGGATATTTCTCTCTTTATTGCCTTCCAGCTCGGGCAATCTGTAGCTTAGAAATTCTCTGAGGCTGAGATTATATCTGCGTCTTTGCATCTAAGCTTTCTTTCTTAACTTCTCTTGTTGCTGTTTCAAATAATTTGCATGTTTGATGTCTGTTGCAAACAGCAGGAATCAGTTCCACAGCAGCACTGTATGTCACATGAAAAGTATCTTCTAGCTTAAAGCTGCTTTCCCCTGATGTCTCTCGATCTCATTCATAAGAGACATCAAATAACCCCCCTCTACCTTCTTTCGCTGCCTCCAACTGCTTGCCTTTGACTCCCACATTTTCCAAGCCAAAGAGACCATGTTCATTTTGTCTTCCCACACGCAGAGACTTTTTTCATACCTTTCAGATCTTCTCTATTTTTTTTTTTGTCTCCTACATCTTTTTTTGAGAAAAGGGCCTCAGAAGCACAGGAACAATTCAGGATGTGGTTCAGAGCTGAGTGTCACCCATCAGTAAGTATTTAATCTCTCAATTCAATTTACTCTCTAGCCAGGCATACTGCAGGCATCGCACACAGGCTGTGGCACACAGCACTGCCCAATTTCAGTTTGCTGTTATGTCTCCTCACTGCAGACAAATACAGCCCTTCTCTCACTGCAGTTCTTGATGGACAACATGCCTATGAGCACATATGCACAGTTATACTCAGTGGTGACATAAATACTGGTTTAAGTTACATCTGAGCAAGCAGTGGAAATGTAATTCAGTGCAATGGACTGGCAGGACACGAGTGCAGGAGAAGCTGACGAGACAGGTTAAAAGTTAGAGAAGGGAGTAAGTAGAAATTGGGCCTGGAGTGGAATGGGTGCACAGTGCAGCTTATCACTTGGTGACTGCACTCCATAGCAAGGAACACCCCAGTTTATGTTGATCAAAACAGACAAGTCAGTTCCAGCAATGAAAGTGATGATTTCCCCTTGTCTGCATTCAGGGTTATGACTGCAGAAAGTAGATGATTCCTAAGTGTGGGTGGGCCCTGTTCCGGGCTCTCTGTGTGTATATGTTTGTTAAAGATAACATGTCAATATTGAGGACAAATGAGGCTCTCCGAGGCAGCAGCACAAGCTCAGAGTTGGCTTTGCACTGAGTAAATCTGTAAAATGGAAAGTCAGTGCTGTTGATTGCATGCAGGCGCAGGAGTCTCCTGCTGTTATTCCTGTTTCACCTTGCTTGGCAAATGAGTAAACCAAGGAAAGCAAGTGAGGAAGCTTAAGGCTCCAAGGTAGGAACCTGCTGAAAAGTGAAAGGACCTTCCTGTTCCTGAGCCCATCAGCCCTTGCTGGTCTTTTTTCAGTAGGATGCATAACAGCCCTTTGAGTGTTCCTGTGGTCTGTGACTTGTTACCAGATGCAGGTCCATGATCTCATCACCAGATCCTGGGCAAAGAGAGCTCTGTGGGCAGCTTACTCCAGGTCACTCCCCTTAGCAGGCTATTCAAGTGTTACTGGCAATCACAAGCAGGGATGAATTATGAGCATCAAAACTTCTTCTGTCATGTCCCTTCCTATTCATTCCATAATTCATAAGCAACAGATTTGTCTAGAACAGTCCAAATGAACTGCAGGATCATGTATGTCTGACCTTGCTGTCCTACAAGGAAGTATAATCATTAGTGGGAGTGTAATTACTGCTAGACTTATTCAAACTGGGAATTTCTTGCACTCTTTCTCCACAGCTTCTACCATTTCTACCCACTGAGTGGGATTTCTCCTGGCTGGGGCTTGTGGGGTTCCAGGGGAACCTTTCTCAGCTCTGCTTAAAGCACAGGACTGAAGTCCCTTTCCAAAGCAGGATGGAACACACCAGGCTTGAGTACCAAAAAGCAAGAAGAGATCTCAGAAAACAATGGGTGAATTTGTCTAGATTCTTTAACAGGGCACAAGTTCTGTTATTCAGAGGACACCGAGTTTCATCACATTAGACAGTGACCTTACCAAACTAGTCTTCTAGGAATACCATTCACAGTGAACAAATTACTTTCCAGTGAATGCTGAAGGAGCTTATTTCCAGATCTGGAAAGATATCTGAGCACTCACTTCCTAACAGTTTCAATGAGAGATGCTCAAGACTGGCAAAAAAGTTCTTTGGTGGTCAAGGTAAGAGTTTGCACAGACGATGGCATGAGACTGCAATTGCGGTGGTGATGAGCTGCAGGGCACTGCCTCCAAAACTCCCCAACACGTCAGATGCACTGACCCAGATGAGGCTTCAGAAGATGTGGCTGTCAAGGTCACAGCTGTGGGGAATCCTTGGTGCTCCTCTTCAGAACTGGGGTGATTGTGGCCACTCTTGTAGGAGCTACACTCTGACTGATGTGAATGCCCACGGGAAAAGGCTCGGACTGCAAGGCACTGGGGTGTACTGACCAACAGCATTGCTTTCTTCTGTGAAGACCAACAGGGGCTTCATGGAGACTTTGTAGAGGGGAGAGCCTGAGCTCCACCGTGCAAAGGATGGGCAACTAAACGTTGCACTCGAAAAAGAGCTGAACAGAGAGATTCCCACGATGGGGAAGGCCTGAAGTCTGTGAGTTCTGGCAGGAGAAGGAAAATCCTTTCCAGGATGAGCAGCCAGCCCCTCAAAGCAGGTGAAGAATTCCACTGAGATGAGTGAGAATAGATGAAGTACCAACACAACTTGGAAACGAGATGGCAAACAGCAAGCAAGGAGTTGTGGAAGAAGAAGAAAAGGGAGGTATCTTAATGACAATTTTCAGTGGGACTCGTATCCTTTAAGGCTAAGAAAAGCCAAAATGAATATCAGTAGGAGCAACTGGGCTATATGGTAGTTGGTAAATACATGAGAATGAATCCTGGAAAGGTCAAGTTTGTCACACATACTGGTGAAGTCTAAAGTAACTTTCATGTAAAATACGTATGTGTATCATAGAAACATCAAACTGTGCCTCGTGGTAATCAAATAAATCAGTGACAGGGCTGACTCATCCCATTAAGGCCTTTTTGTACCAGTTTGCCAATGTCAAAGCATGTTTATTAAATCAACTAGGTTTACTTTGTGTGAGCAGAGATTACAAAGCGGCTGCATGCAATGATGACAAAAGTACACGGATGTGAGACCACAGCGTGGAGCACACGATGCCATCCATGCCAGTTATATGGCAAACTCAAAGAGACTCAGGTAAGCACAGAGGGTGGAAAGGGCAGCTGAGTGCCCCTACTGACTCATTTTCACATTAGAAAAATAAAGATTGTCACCCCTATCAAATACTTTCTTAGAAACAAGGGATCTCCAAAGGGCTACAGGGAGAAGGGAGGTAGGAAAGGGACAGGAAGACCAGGGAGCAAGATGAATCCACCAAAGCTGTCGCTTCAGCCCTCACAAACTGAAAATACCATTTGGCCAAGACACCTCTATGGAAACTATTCAGTACAAGAAATTACTACCCCAGCAGTATGCTGACGGTTCCCAGGCACCTAAAAATGCTTCTACCTAATGCAGCCATTCTTAAAAATAAAATAAACAATCCTAAAAAGACAAAACTTAAGAAGATAAGTAATAAAGTCATAATATACTGATTTACCACTGCATAATTCCTTGAGGGTAGGATAGAGCTGCCTACAAATACTAGTTAGATGTCAAGTGCTACTTCTAACTTCTTCAGTGGGCACAAATACTCATTCACGTTCAGCAAACAGGATCTCATTGTTGGGGAAGTGAAATATCAAATGCAGCTGAATGTAGACATTTGAGCCCTAGTTAATGTGAATGCTTCAGTTCAGTGTTTTTTGCCACTCCTCATGCTGCCCTTCTCTCCCTCTACTTGAAAAAAAGCCTGAGCTGCTCCCCTTGTGCTCTCCGTGTTTGGGAAATGATAAGGTGGCAGAAGGGAACCGAGGAATTTCCTGCTGCTGTCAATTACAGAACTTGGCACTCCCAGCCTGAACTGACTTGGTTTTAAATATGTGAGGTCTCAACAAACCCAACGCAGGCTGTACCGAAAAGAGTTTGCAAAATGCAAGGGATAATCATGAATGAAAGTCACTTCTGATTTGGTGGCACCAATATCCTACAGCAACGGCCCCCAGCTCCATTAACTGTGGAGTCCCATAGGGCGCACTGAAGCCTTGCACACGTTTGACCAGCTGCTCCATTCCAGCCCTCCGAGATGTCCGTGTGTCAGTTGAGGTGATCTCTATTTTTAGTTTACACAGCAGTTTGTACAGTGAGCTGGAAAGCCAGGGAAAAAAAGGATCTCCAACCGAAACAACCAACAATCAATTGATTTAAATTGGTTGTTTTGTTGGAGGGGGCACATTACTGGGAGGAGGAAAGAACACAGCGTTGCACAAAGTTAAGAAAGGATATCTGAGCTCTAATTACTTTTGTTCTTCTTTGCTAATAAGCTTGCAGTCTGCTTAGCCACTGGGACTCAATTTCTTCACCACCATTCCAGCTGTGTGAAGGCAGATCAGCTGCAGTGAGCAAACAACCTGCGCCTGCAGCAGGTCGAGGCAGCACTGCATTGGCACCACCTTAGCATCAAATGGTAAAACAGTAATTGACTGTTTTCTCCTCCTTATAGTTAAAAAAAAGGTAATGTTGGACAGATTGTGAGACTGAAAATTAACACCTTTGGATGTAATTACCTGAACTCTAGGGGTTTCTGTGCACTGGGTCTTGCAGTGAGGGGTGGGAAAGAAAGAAAGCAACTGCCCCATAATTAAAAAGCCTATGGGAAATGCAAGAGTTTCCAGAATATTCACAGTCGTTTGCACTTAATGACAGAAAACAGCATTTTCTAAATTCCAAAATAAAGTAAAAATTGCTCTTTTGGAAAATGTGTAACAGAGGTGGTTTTGACTGCCTTTGCTTCTTATTCTGAAGCCCTGCATAGACAAGAAGTGCTTGCATTGGAACTGACAGTATTTTGCTTACCGTTGTGAAATGAACTACGCAGTAGATTCCGATGATGACAAGGCCAATGATAATTGATGCAACTGCAACCCACAGTGCATTGCGACCCAGTCTTCTTGATCCTTCTATGTCTCCTTGATTGTAACTGTTTAAAGCCTGTTTAAAAAAAAGGAAAAAAGAAAAAGGAAACAGAATTGGTGACTTCATTTAAAAAGAGCCAACCAACACAGGCATCTGTACAGAAACCAATGTGACTGCAGGCAGCAGCAGAAAAGGTGAAACAAGGACATGGAAGAAATCTGGAGAACACATCTGAGTGCCATCTTCACGTGGTAGGAATTCTGATCCTTTGCATTGTTAGAACACACTGATAATTATTATCATGTACATTCAGAGGTGCATCAGACATATTATCTCAACAGCACAAGTTCATCTAGGCAGATGTTTTCCATTCATGACATGGAAAGAGGTGTGATGGGATCCCTCTGATCTTCCAGTCTACTGTGAGATCAGACCTGGTGTGCTTTGGTTATGAGTAATGTTTTTGGTAGCAAAGAAGAGTGGAGATCTGAGACTGGAAAGCAGGAAATGAAGAAACACTTCTGCTAAGTGAAAGCAGCAAGCACTGTATGGATCAATGTTCCCCCATTTAAAGCCAAACCCTGCCTCTCCTGTAGTGGTAGAAGTGCCTTCATTATCACACAGACCTCTTAGCTAGAGAGGTTTTAAACTTAATCTGAGATTATTCAGACAAATGGTTTTAAAGCAATGGAACTAAACCGAAGGAAAGAAGAGCTCTTCTGTAGGGAGCAAAGACCTTCTAATTCTTTGCCATTGTGTATTTCATAAAAGCTTGGCTGAGATCCTTCAGGGTAAAAATCACCTGAAAGATCTTGATGAGAACAAGGGTGAAAGACCAAAGGTGATTTAATTAAAGTGATTTAATTCTCCTGAAAATGAGTCGCTCCGAAGCACAAGGGATCTTAAAGGTGATGCTGCCAATGAATTCACTGTAGGAGCTGAACCACGTTGGAAGGCTCCATGCACCTCTCTCTCATCAAAGCAAGGTGAGTCACAGCACCAGTGACTTCTGCCATGTGGAAATGTCATCATCTTCAGCTTGGGAAACACAGATGTTGTGACTGTGAGACTTGCCTTACTGCTGTGCAATCCTGCGGTCCGACCCACAGCTGAATGCAAGATTTGACAGCTTGATTCATTAGCTTCCACGTGCTTTCACTCAGATCATAAACACCATAAAGTACAGCACTGAGATTTGCCTCAGAATGGCACTAAGAATGCCAGTCAGGTACAGGACCACCATTTGCTATGTACCTTCAAAAACTTATTTAGCCTTAATGCTGAATTTCGTGTTATTTTAATGCTATATAACTTCCATCAGCACATAATCCCAGATCCAGCAGTTGCCTTCTTTGTTCAGATAGTTACCACTGAAAAAAATGGAAACAACTCACTAATTATCTTTCCTCTTTTTCATAGAAAAGCACTGTGGCTACTAAAGTTCATTTTAGACTTCATGGGACACCAAGCACTGTTTGTAGAGCATTTTTTTGCCAAGCGGAAAAATAATGACAGACATTATCTCTGTGTGGTCTGTCAATTAGTGAACACAGGAGTTAATGGACTGGCTACATCCTCGCTGTTAGCACTGCAGCAGGATCGCTCTTGCCAAGGCAGTCCCAGAGCAATGAAGCCCATATTCCTAGAATTGCATCTCAAGGATAAGTACAGGTATTTACTCTCGTGTCTGAGAAAGAGTGAGCTGCTGATTGCCCTTCAGGAGAGCACTGATAGATTTCTCCTCTTCCTGGCAGCCTACATGCCTACACATTTCTCTGTTACAGTTCCCTAAGGAATACCTCTAATTCCTCTCTTGGCTGCCAAATTTTGTTGGGATTGGCTGATGAAATTCCTGGGGGAAGTGGGAAGAGATGGAAATGATGGGCACAAACACGCAGGATGCCTGCCCAAGGCTTCTTTCCATACAGTATTGGGCTGGCCTCACATAATTGTTCAGGCAGAACAGTGGCACAGGCGTCCCTGGTTCTCCATCTCCATCTGCTTATTGAGCAACCTCTTGTTGAAAGGGTTGGCTGGCACAGATGCTCTCGCACAAGTAACTCCACTGTTCTAACTCACTCTAGACTGTTCTTGTCTACAGAAGAGCTTTCTTAGGTTTTCTCAAAAAAGCCTTTCAGGAAGGACAATAAATGGAAGACGGTCTGCGTCGGTCATGAGCAGGCTGGCTTATTCTCCTGCACCTGGCAACAGAACATGACTGTGGCTACAGGGAGAAACACTGGAAAAGCATCACTGAGACCCCATCCATGACTTTGCTTCCACCAAAGCCCACCGGAGGAAAAGCTTCCCATGACCACCAGTGGTCCTGCAAACACTCGAGTCCCTGTACATGTGGTCTCAAAGTAAGGCCAGAGTTGTAAGGAAGACGGGGCAGCATAAGCTTGCAGTTCTGTGTTATTTTGCTAATGTATTTAGGAAGCCTGGAGAACACCCGCGTGATTCCTGCAGGTGCTTCATAAATAATTCACCCTCTGCAGTTTAATAAGTAATGTCATTTTAATAGAAACCCGCGACGAAGAGCAGGAAAACAGCATTAAAGACAAAAAAAGAGGATTTGGGAGAAACAGGAAGGAGACGAAAGCTTCTTTATTAAGAGGCTTAAATGAAATGGTGCCATTTAGACAGCTTCCAAGAAGAAAAAAAAGGAAAAAAAAGAGGCTTTGGGCTAGAGCTTGAAATTAACTTCCATCTACTTCAAAGGATCCTCAGATTGAGCCTTCAGTTTTCAACATGACAGGCAACACTAACTGTCACAGCTGTCAACGTTCCATCTGTGATTATTTCCAGCGACTGCAGTGTGTGCAGCACACAGCATCTGTGTGTGATGTTTGCTCTGTCCGACTTCTCCCATGAATTTCAGCCACTGTCAGCCTGATACCAGACAGTTTTCTCGAGGTGCTGCCACCTCACTCTGTGTAGCCAGGGACTAAACTAAAGCCACAGCTCTGCAGCTGCCCACTGAGCAATCGCAGTGACTGACACCAGCCTCATGTGCCCTGATCAGAAATGAGGCAAATTCTCACACGAACAGAAAAGTGCTGAATGAGCTCTGAACCACGAATCCCCTTTCAATGCGCGCTTTCTTCGCGCTGCCACAAGACTGCTGACGGTAGAAGCAGAAGTGGTACAGAAATCCTCCCCCCCAGCTCTTAAAACTCTGGGCAGACCAGACGGAGGTGCCCTGATCAATATTTTCTGTGCTATTGCAAAAGCCAGACTGTCACAAATCTTATTTGACTGTGCCTGGAAATGAGATACTCACCCTAACTCAGACCAAAGGAGAACTGGATGTGCTGGCTCAGCGTGACTCCTCGCTGCAAACAACAAGCAGAGAAGGAGAAAGAAGAGGGACCTGGGGGGGACAACTCAGAGACAGCATAGTTTGTTCTGCAGGTTGTACAGTTCTGTGCAAATGCTGCACTTCTGTCACTCTGGGGACAAGTTGAAAGCGTTATGGGACAGGAAAGCTGTTCCATTTTGCAGAGATGAGAACAATATGAACGTGCTTAAGAACAGCTGATGAGCCTTGCTTAATCCCATCCAAGTAGGTAGCAATGTTCTGTAAGCTATTAGGTGTCCATGTACCTAAAAGGCACTTATAAAAGCCACCCAGAATCAGCTGACCAGTCTGCCACACAAATCTTTGAAATAAGGACAACTGGAGGTGCTGTACAGAGAAAGGCCAACAAGGGTCATGGAACTACCAGGTCACAATGATGGCAGAGAGCAAGAAAAGTTTATCATCACAACAGGGAGGACCTGGGAAAGGTCCAAAAATCAAGTCACCCAAGACCTGGAAAGGGAAGATTTGTACCCCTAAAGGTGAGAAAAGAGTGAGAAAAGCAGTGCTGTAAGTGGGGCAACAGAAGAGACCGAAGACGAATCTGTCATTTAATTCGGGAGTGTGTTGGAGCCCAGACTCTACTTTTAGCACAAATGCTATTTTCATTGTCTGAATTGAGAACGCTTAAGGAGGGCAGACACATACAAACAGGGTGCTGAAAGGGGCATGCCCCTCTGCATGCCAAAGGGACTTTTCCATCCCTTGGGTTCATCTTAGGCAGTGGAAATTGGTACAGAGAATTCTGCTTTTGTGGGTCCAGACCTCTTCTGACACAAGATCTCAGGCAAACTATACGAATTATAGTAAGAAAAGAAGAAACCTGCTCTTGTATCTCAGCATCAACACTTAGCAACTCAAGGAAATGTGCTCAGAGAGAGGGGGATGCAGGTCCCAGCAGAGCAGTGACTAAAAGCAGAACCTGGAGCAGAGGTGAATGGAGCAGATACAGGTTGCAGCCCCAAAAGGAAGGCGATGGGGCCGTGGAAAACAAGACGTGTTATTTTCATGGAGAAGATGGAGAAGAATCATGTTGAAACAGAAGGCATCCGCACGCAGTGGAACTTATCAGTTGAGTTTTAGGTTCCCCTCCTTTAAAGGAGTCGCACAGCTGTGACCTGCACAGATTGTTTCACACTCAGGAAGTGCTCTTCCCACCTCAGTTTCTATACATCCCACACAGTCACTTCAGCCTGACTCCCAAAGCCTGCATGAACTTCAGCTGGGACGTGGGCAGACGTTCCTCCATATGGGGTGCAAAAGTCCTTAGAGGCCAAACTCTGCCCTCAGCATTTAACTTCTGCACAGCCCCAAAGTGAAAGCACTGTCACGGTGAACAGATCCCACAGCCCCAGATCATCACCTCTCACTCCTTTAAACAGCACCTGCAGTGCCCACTGACTGAAGAGGTGCTGGGTACCAAACCTGGCGGATTTCTCCTCAAATCAAAGAAAAGAGTGTGGTGTGTAATTAGTAATAGAGAAAAAATTTAAAAAGACAGCTAATACTTTTCTTTTCTGAACAAAAATGGTCATGAGGATGGCTTGGAATAGCTGCTTTAAGTTACTTCAGTGTATATTCCAACATCAGGGTATGATTGTGATCAATCTTAGCAGTGTTAGCAGAGTTTGTTTTAGTATACTTTGGAGATGGGCAAGTATTCTAACATCCAATTGCAAAAAGACACAGCAATATTTTCGCTTACCTTTTCAACCTGGCTGTCAGAGAAAAGGAGGAAAATACACAACATGTTTTAAAACCTTCCCACCTCCTAAACAACAGAAATACATTGCAGCATGCATAGCATTACCCTGATCGTACGTCCTATCAGAAAACTCTGGACCTGACTCTGCAACTTTCAGCCTGGAGAAGAGGATTCTATCAGCCCTTCCTGTTTTAACGGGATCGCTGCATTATTAAGGCTATGCAAATGTGTTACGACATGGAGGAGTAAGCGCGTTCTCTGAGCGCTCCCACAGAACATAAAGCTTTTTTGCCAACGATCTCAAATCACGCCTGTTTCATCTGCTTTTCCTGCAGACAAATTCAGCACCGTGCAGAAGAGGCTGCTCACTGCCAAAAAGTGACACTATCAGACTCGATCAGCTGAAGCAAACAGCTCCTAACTGATGTGCAGACTTGATTTCTGCTCCCCGGCTGCCGCTTTCCCAGTCTGTAAGTCCAATTTCCCAGTCTGTAAGTCCAATTCAGCATGCGAGTCAGTCGATGCAACAGATCTCATTAACTGGGATAAACTTCCCTCCTTCACGCAGCCTGAAACTGAAAACTCGCCTCGAATTGTCTTTCCCTCCGCGCTTGTCATCTGATAAAGCTTTCTGAGCCGGTTACCTGCTAGGACAGTGCTACGGACCCCCTGGCTGATGCTCTCTGCCCCACTGACTCCGATGCCGGCTCCTCCGCTCCCACTCTGCCCCCTTCCAGCAGATGGGAACGGGCAGGAGCCAAGAGCCGCGGATCGCCCTACTCGCACCCGCAGCCCCAAGCCGGGGGTCGCGCACTCAGAGCCGCCCTCGCCCTCCGCGGTGAGACTCACCATGACGGCGAAGACGAAGGCTACGATGTTGATGGGATACGCGGGGCAGAAACAAGCGAGGATGCTGAGGAGCAGGTAGTTCTTCGGCCGCGGTTGCGGCGGACCGTCGGGGAGTTCATCTTCGATGTTTGTCTCGGGGCTGTTGTCCAAAGCCCTCTTGATGTCGGTGCCGGCGGGGAGCGAGGACATGAGGCTGCGGCACGGCAGGCGGGCGGCTCGGAAAGCCCAGCGCCGCGTACCGGGCAGGCGTGACCCCACGGCGGCACCCAGCCAAGGGAGCCGCCCGGAGCGGCGCTGAGCGGCGCTTCCCGGATCGGCCACTAGGGGGCGCTGCTCGCGGGTGGCTCTACTGCGAAGCGCTGCAACGCGTCCAAGGATTGGGGGGGGGAAAAAAAGAGGATGAACGAAAAGCCGCTCGCTGCATCCCGTGCTTTTCCTGGCCTTTGCTTAAGTGCCTTTTAACTGCGCCTACAACACCCCCCTGGATACACCCTTGTATACAGTGAGCTCCGGCAGCCAATGGCATCAAAGCTGCAAAGGCATTTCCTTTGGTCTGGGCTGAGGTTGCCAACTGACCCCAAGTGACATGCTAGACTTAGCGAAAATATTAAAGATTGGCTGAAAATCATCTACTTAAAGAGTTTGGAGGCTCGGGCCCGGACTATTTTGGCCAATTTTTAGCAAGAGATGCAGTCCTTACTGAGCATTACATCTGTATGATGGAATTCTCTTTGGGGGATGCACGAGGGAGAGCAAGAAAACCAACGTGTTTAGTTCCAAAACCCAGGATATGGGAGAAAAAAAAACCACAAAAATAACCAATAAAAACATACAAACAACAAAACCAAACACAAATTAAGCAAATAAAGTTCTTCTTCCATGACGGTTTTGAAGTTAGTGAGGAGAAGCATGACAGCCTGCGTTCAGAAAGGAACGGGCTCCAACAGTGCCATATACCATAAGAAAACAAGCTTTATAACACCCACTTTATAATAATAATGGAGCAAAATAGAGGGACCTTTGAGGCTGAACGGTGTCTGTGTCTGGCTTTTCCTGAGAGCACTTCATTCATTGCAGTTACAGCAAACAGGAGATGTGCACAGGGCTTTATGAATGAGCCACCTTTAGCACTGGGAGTTCTGCAGCTGTCTCAAATGGAGCCATTGCTTCCTGTTTGCAGATGTCATCCTACAAGACATGATGCTGTCAACACAATAAAGACCTGTGTAAGTGCAATATTTTTTACTTCCATAGGCACTGATCATCTCTCAGGCTGCATTCCTGGAATATAAGACAGAATGAGAACCTACTGATCTATAAACATGATGAAAGAAAGGATTTTATGTCTTTAGGAAGCAGTAAGAAATGCCAAGGTTACATCTGCTTGCCAATTCACCCATTAGTGCTCGGGCATGGGCTTTTTGGAGCTGTAAAACCTCTGATATGTTCTCAGGGGACTTTAAACACACACCAGACAAGCTCAGGAGATGCAGTTTGTATCACACTGCACAGTTGCTTTTAGAATTGATTTCAGTAGGGATGGGGAACATGGACTCACCTTCTGCAAGACACGTGGAGCTACAGGAGATGTCAGACATTCAGGGCAATTTGTGATAATGACAGCTCAGTAAGAGGTTTGTGAGATGGAGGCTCTGCCATACGGCAGTCATTGCAGCTGAATTTAGTGGTTTGAGTAGATGGGTTGAAATGCAAGAAATATATTGTGCTGGGACAATACTGCTTACATTTTAAATAGCACTGACTTGTGGGTAAAGGAAAAAAAAAGGATGTTCAGACAATAGTATGGCTTCATGTACTGCAGTGAGAAGATGGTTAATCTCCAAGAACCTGGGGAAGATTCTTACCTCAAAGGGAAGATGAGCACAGTCGATCCGTATGGCAGCAGAGCTGGTCAGGTCCAACAGCCTCACTTCAGGTCATGGCTTCTGTGCTTACTACGTCAAAGATGAGTACATTGCTCTTTTCTGACTGCTCTGAACAAAACGAGACTGAAAGTTTTTAAGGGGGAGCAGAGAAACAGTAACCCAACAGTACTGCAAGTAGTGTCCTTCTAAGCAAACACAGAATCATAGAATGGCTTGAGTTGGAAGGGACCTCAAGGATCATCAAGCTCCAAGCTCCTGCCACAGGCAGGGTCACCAACCTCCAGATCTGGCACTGGACCAGTTTGCCCAGGGCTCCCATCCAACCTTGCCTTCAACAGTTTGATATTTCTCGATATGATCACATGGCTGCCCATCATTGCCTCTCTTTTTAACTTTTCTGGACAACCAGGCAGAAAGAAAGACCGTAAGAATGAACAAAGGAGTGCTGTGAACAACACTTCCTATTTTTTCCCTAAGAAAGTGTTCTCTGGCTAGACTGTGGGCTCAAGCCATTCTGAAAAGAGCAGACAAGATGTTCCCAGAAGCCTTCCTCCACTTTTCTCCACTCAAAAGATGGTTTGGGGATAGGAGGTCACAGCAAGAGTCAATGGCCACGCAGGGCTCCGTGCTGAGTTCTATTTCTCTGAAGAAAAAGTTCTAAGCATCTTCCAACGTTTAGCCACGTTATTCTTCTCAAGGGTAGAATAAAAGTATAAACCCAGGAGACTGGAAACTATGTAGCTCATTTTCAACGTCTAAAATTCCCATGCTTTATCCACTACTCAGCAGTTTAAAATTCTTCATATGATTTCATGATAATGAAAAACATCCTTGCTTTACAAAAGGAACAAGCAAACCTGCAGGGATTGAAGCTTTTCATACACAGCAGGGTTGGTACTTCTGCCATGTGGACGAATGCTTCCCCTTCTCTCAACAGGCAGAGATGGGGCACATAGAAGTGGACTGAAGCCTCCCATAGCCCAAAAAGCTCCTTTTAATAACAACACATGCAGTAGTAACCTTCTACAGGGTAAACCAATCCCCCTTCTCCCTTCTCTTGCTTGTTTTTTTTTTTCTTATCTTTTTGAGAAATACGAGTTTTGTATCTGGTCACTCTAGCTTTCATTTGTAAAACGCTGTGCATAATGACTGTGCCCCTGACAAGTAGGTGGGAACGTCCCTTCTCACTTGCTGTTCATTCTCATGACTGTTGGACCACATAGCAAGACTTCACAAACTCGTAGACCAAGCAGTACTGAGGAGTACAGGATGACTATGGTCTCAAAAAGAAATGAAGTTTTGTAATGCACTGCGTTGACCCCAACGCAGCTGTGCCATGAAGGTTTAATAGCAGGCCCCAGAGGTGGCCATTAAGCTTTTGGTTTTAGGTGTTTTGGTGCTTCTCCAGTGGTAATCATAGGATCATACACTCATAAAGGTTGGGAAATACCACTAAGACCATCCAGCCCAACCATCAGCTCATCACCAGCATGCCACTAAACCATGTCACTCATGTCGCAAGGGTGAGCACAGTCTGGGAGATGGGAAAGAAAAGCAACAGGATTTGGGGAACTGGGAGAGATGGGAGGGGAGGAAGGGAGAGGGAGGAAGGATGAGTTAAGGAGCTCAGTGGGGAGCGGGTCTGGGGCAGCTGGCTGGCTGGGTTTTGACTACTGGCCTTGGGACTTAATGGCCAAGCACCCCAATATCCTCATGGGAACAGCTCGGGTAATGTTTGTATAGCAGAGCATGCAGACAGAATGGTTTGCACAGACATGCTGAATGCACAAAACTGACTAAAACATGAATAGAAACAAGGAGGGAGAGATTTGGGAGGCTGCTTCATGCCCTTTACTGGTACCTGTGGTTCCATTCAAAATAAACACTGGGATCAAACTCTCTGCTGACCTTACGCAAAGGAAATTGTTGCAATAAGCCACAAAGACATTCCTGGCTCTGAAATAAGTTTCTCAATGGACAAATCACAGAATGCTCAAACCATTCAGGCAGGCAGAGTGAGTTAATGACAAACTAATATTCCTTTACCTCGGAATCTGAAACTAACCTTTAAAGGGCCCTTGAATTCCAATTGATTTGCTGGGAGTCTAGCAGGGGTGTTATTAATTTATGAGGTTGAATCAGATAGGCACAGTTAATTGGTTTTCGTACATATTAAATATTCAAACAGTTATACTTTTCCTCAGACAGGGAGCTGCTATGTTATTTAACTGAATCCTGTAGCCAAATGCTACGAGAATAATTTTGGTGGTGATTTCTCATCACCACAGTAGTAGGTGAGCTTACAAAGAAGACTCATTTGAAAATGACCTCTTTTCCATGAGAGAGTGTCAGTACCTGTACATGGCACAAGGTGTTGGATCTAGCCTTTGCCATAAGTAAATGAGAACATTCAGGAATCAAAGACCAGAATCCCGTTGGCTTCCCTTTTGGCCAGCTTGCACATATATAGACATTACTCTGCACTTCAAAACTAATTCAGACCTGTCCCTCAGACTGTTCACATCGCTGTCATTACAGTGATGAGAATTCCTTCTGCTGTTGCATTTTTGTGGGTACAACTGAGTCAGCAGTGCCCGAGGGGCTGATGCATTACTCCACCCCTGGGACTGGTTTGTGCCCATACTCTAAGAGGTGTCAGGAGAGAAATGCTCTTCTTAAACGTAACTTTCCTATTTCATCCTTGCAGCTCTTATTTTTTCACTCTGGACTGTGGCTTTGCAAACATCAAAAGTCCCCGATGAGCTGTTGCTTTGGTAAATTATTAACAGTAAATTAATGTGTGATCAGGGAAACGTCCAGATTAAAAAATCAGAGACTTTTTCCATTCACTGTTACATTTCTGAAGTACTATCAGCATTTGAAGCCAACAATTAAGTTGAGTGATCAAACCCGCTCGTGCTTAAACACATGTGAAGACGTCTCTGTGTATCTGTCACAACCTATTTCTTTCCACCCCATCTCCTGGCTTCTGACCTGCTTCATTTAGTCACACATCAGCATCAAAGGATCTGTTCCCACAGCTCAGACAGCGATGGGCGTCTGCTCAGTGCTGTGGGTGACCTGCTTTGTGCTGCGAGGAGCCCTTATTTTATCCCATGGTCCCATTTTCCTAGAAACAGTTCGTGTTCTTGGAAGTTTTTCTGCTTGTGATTGGCAAGGCAATCTGTTGGAGCAGCGCCCTCGAGGCACGGAATTAACAGGATCTCTCTTACATCACCTTCAACATCCCGAAGCAGAGCAGCAAAGCTCACCTACGTTTGACTTCTTTTAGAATCCACCAGATAGATTCTAACAGCCCAACAAAGAGTTTGCATGTTTTAGGATTAAATACAGGGGAGATGAACCACAGACAGGAATTTTATAGGTCACCTGTAAAGCACGTTTTGAATCCATCACTAAACTCATAAGTGTTCTTAGCAGAACTCGAGCAAAGCTCCAACTCTGGTATTTGTATTACCAAAGAAATTGCAGTGGTGATTTGCTGTCTAATTCTTACTAGCAAATAAGAGGAAAATGATGTTTTGAATGATTTTCATACGTTCTGATGTTTATGAAAGCGTTGTAGCATTATTTAATACTGCTTCATCTCAACCTGCTAAATAAGGCATTTTGCAATGAATTTAATTAGTTCTCATTCACCACAGAGTGAATCTGGAACTCCTTTACAGACTTCTGTGAATCAGCTCTGGCTTCACACAGGAACAAACTAGAGCAAGACTTGGCTGGAAGAGTTGTTCTGAGGCCAGTAGCATCATTGACAAATAGAGCAGGGTTTGAACAAAAAGGCTAAATGCACCCATTAGGGACAGTTTGGATCTGGATTCAGATATGAATTTGTGGGATAAGCTGCATACTAATTGTTTTATAAATTATTAATATGCTTAGCACTTTTCCATTGTGTAGCATCCCCATAGGACCATCTCTCCACACACACATACACACATTCTCTCCTTTCATTAAAGATTCCCAAATACTGTAATTCCTCTCCTCTCCTCTCCTCTCCTCTCCTCTCCTCTCCTCTCCTCTCCTCTCCTCTCCTCTCCTCTCCTCTCCTCTCCTCTCCTCTCCTCTCCTCTCCTCTCCTCTCCTCTCCTCTCCTCTCCTCTCCTCTCCTCTCCTCTCCTCTCCTCTCCTCTCCTCTCCTCTCCTCTCCTCTCCTCTCCTCTCCTCTCCTCTCCTCCCCTTCCCCAAAAGCAAAAGGTTGCTTTTTCTCATATCAATCTCACCCACTTGGATTATATGGGTCACTGTTGTTCCTCTTTTCCTACAACAAATGGGAACGGTTGGGTGTGGGTTGCAATCTTCCCTCCACACTTCTTGTGTGCAGTTTTCATATACATCACACATAATTTGTTGCAACCTGCCCTACTTTATAAATACAGTTTGGAGAGCCATAGGCAGGAAACAGCCTATTAAAGGCAAGCCTTTGTTGGGATACCCTGCAAAAACATTCAAATAAATTATCTATGCAAGAGAATATTCTGATGACTGTTACAGTAATCTAGGACTGGAAATGAACTGAATGTTGCATTTGTCAGCTGTGATGGGTTCTTTTAAAAATCCACTACAATTTCTATTACAATGCCTACATCCATCATATACAGTCAGGTGTAATCTACAATAACATGTACTAAAGCATAGCCAACTTAATAAAAAGTGATATAAAGAATACAGAGAACAAACAACACCCTTGGCCAGGAAAAATAAAAAAAGGAAAGAAGTGCCAACAAAGAAGAAAGGCTTTCTTTCTCATCCTTTCCCTACTTCAAACTCTAATTCTGTCCCTGCAAAGTGCATCTCTGGAGCATGAGGTGACCAACCTAGGCTTGGATGGTTCATTTGGGCTAATGGAGTTTGTGGATGACCGGCCTATTAGCTGAAACTGTAAAGGACCAGAGCAGAATGGGGAGTTAACAGGCTGCCCAGAGAGGCTGTGGATGCCCCGTCCTTGGAGGTGTTCAAGGCCAGGTTGGATGGGGCCCTGGGCAGCCTGGTTTAATATTAAACGTGGAGGTTGGTGGCCCTGCATGTGGCAGGGGGTTGGAGATTCATGATCCTTGAGGTCCCTTCCAACCCTGGCCATTCTGTGATTCTGTGATTCTGCAATGGTGAGCAGACAGAACTGATCCAGCAGCTCTACCACACACTCTTGGACCTTTGTCAGATTTCTTGGACTCCTGGTGTGTCCACCACCAGTGTGTTAAATGGGTCACTTTGAACCTACCTGGAAAAGCTGTGCTGAAAGATTAAGTAGAAGATTGTGAGACATTCACAAATGTATCTGGGGGGAATCCAAGATAACTGTGGGGAAAAAAAACATCAAAAAGTTAAAAAAGCCCAAATCTTTTTTCCTGCAGATCACAGAATTGTTTCAGTTGGAAGGGACCCTTAAAGACTACCTACTCCTTCCATGCAATGAACGGGGAAAGCAAGCAGCTGACATCCAAGAAAGGACATGTCATAACTCCAAATCATCCCTTGTGTGAGCTACAGCAAGGTTACAGCTTGTGTAGGGATTTCATAGAATCATTAAGGTTGGAAAAAACCTCTAAGATCTGCAAGCCCACCACCACCCAAGCTCATAGCAGAGAAGAAGAACGGATGATCTAATTTCTTTCTAAAGAAGCAGTCCCCATCATTACCTGTTTCCAGCATCATTACTGATGTACTCCAGCTGAAGCATTACCATTTCTTATATGTGAAGAAAACTTTCTTGTCTGCATCTTCCCTTTGGTGAGGAAGGGCCAAGGTGAAGGTTTCACTTTGTGCACCCGCAGCTCAACCAGGAGAACCCAACTGTTAAATGAAGGTTTCTTTCTGTTTGCTTGTAATATCAGCTGCCACCACAGGGTGACACAGCAGAACAGACAATGAAACTTGGCTCGGGTATGATGAAAAAGTCCAAAATAGATGGTAGAGGTAAGAGAACAGAGATTCTTGAAGCGCAAGGAGGGTTGCAATGAAACTTCTTTTAGCAAGCATTTGGAATTGAGGTCTGATCCTTGTTATCATCTGATAGAAGCATTGGCCATCCATTTCACTGGGCACTGGATCAGCTCCAACAGAGTTTGGAGATAGGTTTGGCATTGGATTCTTAAATGGAGGGAAAGAAAAACATGGACGTGGAAGAACGTGGCTTCATTAGATGTAAAAATCCTATGTTACCACCACTGCATATAGAATAAGAATAGTGGGAGCACAAAAAACATAATTTAGGTCTCTCTTTTTTTTTTTCCTAGTAGATGTAAGCCAAAGCAATGTGTGGATTTCACTCTTTTCCTTGAAAGAAAACAAGCAAACAAACAAACACATTTATCTTCTGTTAGGAGAATGAGGGAGGGAGCAAAAGAAGGTCATTAATCAGTAAGATATTACACATCAATGGTCAAACTACTCACCTGCATCCTTAACTGGTGTTGTTTTCTCTTACTGTGGCAGAAGGAGCTGCCTTTCTGCCCAATGGGTTCTCTGGAAGCTCTGACAGGCAGGTAAGCAGCTTGTTAAGATCATCAGCTTAGAAGGTCATTGGATCACTGATCCCATCATCTAGCAATTGTGACCCACCATCAAAGAGACCATCGAACAGATTCACAAAGCTCATGGAATATCCCAGACCATCCCTGACTTCAGGGCTGTCATTCTAATGTCTCATCCAGGAGACTAATGGAGAATATATGCAAAAGTAATTAGTGGAAAGTGTATCTTCAAGTGAAAACCTCAGAAATGTGTCTAAAGATTCTTGGCTTTTCAATATTGATATTAATAAGACAAGAAGTTAAGCCATAATCACAGAATAACTACAAAGTTGACTGAAAACAAAACATCCAAAGTACTGAAAAGAATTAGAGCAAAAAAGAACTGTATTAAAACTTAAAACTCAAACCTGCATTTGGGTTATTTATTTTATTTTGTAAATGGGAGGTAAAGTGAGGAGCAGTCAGAGTCAATAAGATTTAGATATGGTGATACGTGTAGCTGCATTGAGAAGATGCTTGCTGTAATGTAGGCACTGCTGGAGAAATGTTTGAAGAAGTCACCTGCCTTGTGAGTAGGAACCAAGCTTTCATCCTAAATGTAACTCCCATATAACTAAAGGGAATGGCCTTAAGTTGCATCAAGGGAGATTTAGGATTTTGGACGTTAGGAAATACTTCTTCTCCAGAAGAGTGGTCAGGTTCTGGAATGGGCTGTCCAGGGAGGTGGGGGACGGTTGGACTGGATGATCTTGGAGGTTTTTTCCAACCTTGGTGATTCCATGATTCTAAACGGTTAGGAGAGACTGAAGTTTGATGGTGAGTCCAAGACATCACACAGGAAGAAGTCATTTAGCTTTTATTCGCTGTGGCTGACCACAGCCAGCAGAGCACTGTGCAGGGGCAAATTTCAGATGTGCAAGGGTGGTCAATGGGACTTCCTGAAGGTTTTTCTCCTTCCCCAGTCTTCCATGATGCAAATCTCAATGGGAGGGAGTTTTCTGCTTGAAGCATGACAATTGTAACTGGATGGAAAACCATCTCGGCTGTTCACCTGATTAAAAGGCAGAGGATTGTGCATGGAGAGGGTCTACTCTTGCCTGGAGCCACTCAATGAAATCCTCTTCGGGCATCTGTACAATACTTTCACGTACAAACTGAAAGAGAACAAGGTCATTTCCTGAGCATTTAATTCTATGTGTAAGAGAGAGACATAATATGTCTCTCAATTTGATCAATTTGAACAAACGTATTGACTTCTGCATAAAATCAATACAGTGCTTCATATCACCAAAACGTTTTAATGCAGTTTTCAGAACTGCTGGGTTTGCTTTAAAATGAATTAAAAGCAAAACTCCATGATCTTCCTTGCAATTTATATCCTCAGTCCTTCAAAGTCAGGTCTTTGAGTTTTCAGACACACAGCTGTCTTCTACCTACGACTGCACCACATACATTAAAGCAACTTGAAGTTCAATAACTTCACCTTGAATCCGTGCAGGTATCCACCAGTTTATGTGTTTACATTCAGTGACACTCTCCTTGCCACTAAGACATTATAGTTCTGTTCATCTGTTCCAGCCCAAGGAATACCAAAGTCTTCTTTCCTCTCTGGGTATCTTTAAAAGATGTGTAAATAGAAGATTCTGCAATGCTCACATCTGTTTTTTCTGTATTACTACTGCACCAGCAAGCAACAGAAACAAACATTCAGGCAAGGCTCTAGTTAGTGACTACACAGATTAGAGCACGAGACAAAATGGCTGTTTTTAAAAGACATCAAGAAAATGCAAGTGGTCTGGATTGGGGCACACCGGATGCCTTGCCCCCATAATGTGTCATAAACTCAACATATGAAAGATGCACAGGTGCTGTAACATGCTGCCTCGATGGGATTGCTGCTGTCTCGCAGATTAGGAGGAAGAATGGTGATGAGAACAAAGAACAGAAGGTGGCATCATTGCCCTTTTTATCTTGGTTAGACTACACAGCAGCACACATAAAGTATTCGGGTTTCTTCCTTCTATCTTTACTCTTCTGTAAATTGATACTAGAACAACGTGAATGGGGCACAGCTCACAACCTTGAGAAGCATATTGTTTTTTACGTGTTGCTGAAGCAAAACAAAGGCATCTGCAGAATTCCTGGGTTGGTGGCACGAATTAACACGAATAGCTCCTAGCTGTAAGGCCTGGGAATGACAGGCTTCCTCAGGACACAGAAAGGGAATGTTTCCCCTCGAGAATCCTAACAATTTATGGCAGACATCGCTTTCACTGTGGCAGTAAATGAATCAACAATGACATAATAATCAAATGATACTGATTAATAATCCAGCCCTTGTCATAACAGCTTTCCTCTGACGGGTTCAGTGTGTCTTGTAGAAGGTGAGTAGCACCATCTTCACTTCATGACGTCCTAAATGATTTCATCTGGTACCTCTCCACTGCACTTCACCTATGGGTGTTCACTTTCCCCACCCTTATCACACAGAGAATCCAGAGCTGGACCCATCTCACCTCCACAGCAGCAGCGATGTCAGGAGAGCACAGCTCCCACAGCTGGAGATCAGTCACAGCCTTCAGGAAGGTGTCCTGATCAATGTGTAAATCAGGAGCCAGGCCGAATTTTTCCAGTTTCCTTAAGATTTTCTTGACATAATGGTCATTCTTCACAGGCTCTGGCAGCCTGGCCAGCAATGCAGGAAACCTTTAGCAGAAAGAGGAGCAGCAATGAAAGGGAATCTCTAGGAACTAATGGAAAAATCTGATGGGCAACTCTAGGTCTGGGTGGAATTTCTGCCACTTCACGACTTCTGTGGCTTCTACAGGGGAAAAAAAAACAAAGGTTCTTTGGAGAATGTAATGCTCAGTGTAATACCCAGTGAATAATGCAAAGGAGCTTTATTTTACAGGAGTTGTGCATCGGCTGCCTTTACAGAGACTAAAAAAGATGCTTTGCTGTTCGTTTAAATTCTGAATGACAAACGTGGTTATGAAAGCAAATAACAAAAAGCTAACAAAGTTTTCATTTTACAAGAAATGTCCTCTTGATCTTTAGCCTCTTTGGATTTCCCAGTGCAATCAAGTGTCTGATTTGACACACTTTCTGATGCTCCTTCCTATCCCTTTTCTCTCTGTTAACACCATTCTCCTCTATGCGCTGGCATAAATCTCAGCAACGTGACAGTGCTGTAACACACAGCCTTTATCATTTAATTCTGAATATAGAGACTCAGAAGGAGAATTACACATTACAATAAAAAGAAAACCCTTGTGAAAAGACTGACATTTTTTTCCCCTAATGTTCTGTATAAATTCTACAGTGCTGCCTTGACAGTGCTAGAGATTGATGCTCCAAGCCTACCACAAACACGCATGGCTGAGGCATATCAGCTTGGCAGCAGGGAGTTCTGCCTGCCCATAGTTTAGGATATGTTTTACTGGAACAGCAGGAGATGGGTGAGGAATTTCTTCCTTAAACCAGTGAAAAGGGAAGCACACAGGTTCTCCTCTTCAGTAGAGACACTTCTATGCTTGATTGCATACTACTGGTATGGCTGTTGAAGCAACTCATTACTCTCCCTGGCTAGGTTAGCCCAGTTCCCATCACTGTCTCACAAACAGGTTTTGCATAAGCCATCGACGCATCAAGATATTCTTTGAGGAAGGTCAGCACATTCACAGCCCACTGTTCATATTTTATATTATCTCAGTTTTTGGTTGGCTTTTATTTCACTTTTGAGAGAGAAAAAGGCAGCTAGACTGACAGCAGATACCATTAAAGTGTTCCCACTGCAATTCAGCTTTCCTGGCAAGGCAGTGTTTGCAAGAGTATGGAAACAAAACAGCCCTGTTGTAAATGGAGTAAGTGCCACCGTGAAGGCAATTGCTCTGTCATGACTTTGTGCCCCCCTGGGGCTGGACCAAACATCTCAGAGATTTCATTCTTTGCGTCCCTATGGAGATGTTGAGTGTGAGTGTATAACAGTAGAAACTCATCCACTTCAGCTCTGGGGCTTATTTACATGGCAGAACTTCAATGTGGGCAACAGCTGGAGCATACGCTAGGCAACTAAAATTAGTTTTGCTATATAGGCCAAGGCTAAGTTTATTAATTAACTCATGACTGATGGGATCCTGGGCCACCTGCAAGTTGGACCTAAGATAAGAAACTGACTTCAATGTATGAGGGACAGAAGGTTTACTAGCAAGGAGACCAAAGAGGGCAGGCTGAAATAAATGTTCCACACAGCTTTTTTTCCCCTGTATTTCCATGGCTGAAGGGTTCTCGTGGCAGGGAACATGCTGAGATTTTCTGAGGTATTCCTATAGGCTATTTATAGTGTGGATCTGGAAGCTGATCACTGGACACAGTCCATATCCACACTGGCAGGGAAATATATATTTTTTTTACACGGATGGACAGCTAGAATCAGAGTTTCTTCACCATCAGTTTTAGTACTGTGAATCCCAGTTCATCCAGAGGTTGCTGTGACTTTAACCCACGTACATTTGTAAAGCATCTCTCCTCTTCAGGGTACAGTGTATTTTACATACTCCCTGATGGACAAAGTTTCTTAGAGAGCTCCATGCTGGAGAGCATCTATGAATGCACAGACAGAGCACTTGTTGTCCCCAGTATCTCCAGAAGGAAATCTTCCCATCCCTTTTCTTACCATACCCAATTATCTTGTCTCCTGAGCAGGCTGCTCCTAGGAATACCTGTTTTTTTTTTTGCCACCAGTTTGTGAAGGCTGCATTTTCAGCAACCAATTTCAACGCTTTCTAGTGATACTTTGAGTAGAAAAGGAATAGAATTGCAGCTTTTTGTACAAAAGACAACTCTAAAACCATGACAGCCTCATCTGAAATGAGGATCTCAATGGCTCCTTACCATTTAAGCCCATTTTCATCACGTTCCTTTTCAGCTCTCACGTCCAGCTGTCTTATTCTTTCCATGTCCTTTTTAAAGTACTTCAGTCGTTTCAAAGCCAGGTATTTTTTACAGCATCGCTCTTCCTGGCTCCTAACAACAACAACAAAAAAAACCCTTAAAAATGAATCTGTACTTTAAACATTACCATTCTTTTTCATAGGTAAGTGGGAAGATATCAAGGAAGGCAGAAAATAACACATCAGAAGAACACATTGCACATTCAGTCTGTGGATGCTCATAACAATGTTTGCTTGTGCAGCATTCTGAACGTACCCGTATTTCTTCTAAAAATAAGGAAAGCACTGCAGCAAAAAAAGAGACAAAATCTAACTACAGAATGGAATGAAAGAATGGAAATAAGGAGGGAGAGAAAGGAAGAAAGAAAAGAGCTGTGTAGGGAAGGATTTCAGGTGACGTTTACTGAGAAAAAAAGAATTTGCATGAATGTTACCCAGAAACAATCATCAGTGAAAGGAAAGGGTGGCAGGTTTTGGCTGGTTAGCAAAGTAGTAATGCTGCTGATCAGGGAAGGGGCCTTGAGAGAGGACACTGCAAGTGTTACACTGTAAAAACAGCCCATGTAACGTTGAAGAACAACACGGCCATCTCTGACATGAAACGAGAAGACAGCCATGCAGACTGCGTGTGACCTGAATTTATTACTCTCTCTTTGAGTGAAAAGGACTATGATCAAAGCAAATACATCCCACGTATTTATCACAGCTGCGTCCCACAAAAGTCGCTCAGAACCATCCCCAAACACTGGAGTATATTTTCATACCTGAACAGTCAAACTTTTCCAGACCATTCCCTACCCCTTATTTTATTGTTGCCCCATATAAATCAGTAGATGCATCTTTAAAACATCTGAAGATAAAAGGTCAAGAGCAAGGAGGGCATATTTTAGAAGTACACAGCAAACAGTCTCTTACATCTCAAGGCTCTCCAGAGCATCATGCAAACAATGTGCTGCTTCTTCACGTATTGCCATGAACTGGTGCCTTGCATCAGCACACAGGTTAGATTTGCTTTTAATGAAGTGGCTGATATGGCAGCTGGAAATAAAACAAGAGAAGTAGAATTAGCATCTCGTGGTAACCACCTCACAGCAGTGTGAAAGCACCTGAAGTCAGAGATCTTTTATTCACATCCAGGTTTGTTTAGCCTGGAGAAGAGAAGGCTATATGGTGACCTGCAGTGCAGCCTTCCAGCACCTAAAAGGAGCCTACAAACAGGAGGGGAGTCAACTCTTTACAAGGTAGATAATGGCAGGACAAAGGAAATGGTTTTAAGTTGAAGGAGAGAAGATTTAGCTTGGGTGTCAGGGGGAATTTCTTTACCAAGAGAACAGTGAGGTGCTGGAACAGCTGCCCAGAGAGGCTGTGGATGCTCCATCCATCCCTGGAGGTGTTCAAGGCCAGGTTGGATGGGGCCCTGGGCAGCCTGGGCTGGTATTAAATGGGGAGGTTGGTGGCCCTGCCTGTGGCAGGGAGTTGGAGCTTGGTGATTCTTGAGGTCCCATCCAACCCAAGCCATTCTATGAATTTTTTTTTTTTTTTTTGTCCTTAATGAATATCATGCTTACTCTGTAGTCCTTCACTGACAGTAAATTGTAAGACAAGACGAGGTTTAAAATTGAGTACAGTGTGCCTTTTCCAGTCTGTGAGACACCCTATGAAAACTGCAAAAACACTCCTAGTGTGGCAGACTTGCTGGAGTTATCCAGGAACAAAGTTTATCATTTTTTTTCATATTATTCATATTTTTATATTCGTATTTTCATCATATTTCTCTTGACCTCAACTCCAAGGAAAAAAAAACGCTTCAGCAAAGCCCAATTATACGAATGATCAGTTGTGTCAGTCTTACAGCTGCAGAAAGCATCACAAAACGGAATAATGAGGGAGCACACCTAATGGATTCTATTCTGCCACCTGGGCTGAGAGATATCTGTACCGTTTGAATTCACTGAACACCAAATTCAGCTGCTCTGAAACAACACCAGCAACACAACAACAAAATCCCAACACCCCTCAGCTCTGTCCTGGTGAGCTCCTTCTCCTGGTCTTTCAGAAAGCCATTGGATCACACACCTCTGAAGTCCAGTCTTCTTAAGGGTGTCTGCTTGTTCATGGACACTTTTTGATGCCTTCACGTGTGTTCTCTGGATCTGCTTCTGTGGGGCTGATGAAAAACAATCTGTAAAAGCACGTTAACTCTGGCCAATGGTCTCCCAGTTTCTGCTTGCCTGTCTCTATGGGATGTTTCTTCATCTCACGGACAAATCAAGCTCTCAGGTGTTACAGCTCTCGGGATTATTTTCAAATCTGATCTCTGGAGGCATTCAAGGCCAGGCTGGATGTGGCTCTGATGGTTGGAGACCCTGCACATAGCAGGGAGTTTGAAACTGGATGATCACTGTGGTCCTTTTCAACCCATTCAGGCCATTCTGTGATTCTATGATAAATACTAATTTGCTTTTCTGGCCTTGAAGTAGAAGAAGGGAAAGGCTAAAGATTGCCTTGCTATATAGTGAAATGCATTGCAAACTGTTCTGCCGTGTCTATCAAGTGCAGGCAGTCACTAATGGAGGAGCACAGAATAACAAAGCCCTCCATTAAATAGATGTATGTTCAGAGCATCAGTTGATTATGCCAGAGAACAGTTTCAATGCTTTTACCTCCTATTGGACATTATGGATGTGAACAACAGTCTGATTATACAGCTGATATAACTAAAATCTCTTAATATTCACATGGGGTTATGCCATCTTTAAACAATTTGTGACTGGTAAGGGCAGAGAGACATGTATGAAGTTTCCTACACCTGAAGAGGATGTACACTTTTACACAGGCATGTCTAGCAGTGTCTTTGAAGCACTCCTTAGTGATACTGAAAGTAAGCCTACTTGATATTGGCAGCCAAGAAAAGGTACTTACAGGGGGAAAGTTGTTGTTCTTTAGTTTGCATTGACACACTGGTAACACTGGCCAAAGCTCTGCTCGGGTTGACGTCTTCAGAGCAAAGCACAAGAGAATTTACACTGCTGAGAGGGGTCTGACCGTGAGATGACTGACTGCTAAGCTGAGAGCTGGCTGGAGCAGCTGCCTTGTTTGTCTGCCTCCTGAACGGGATGCGCCGCGCTTTCCGCATGTATTTCTGTACATACAAGAAAGAGAGAACAAAAAGGGATTTTCTGCAGCCAATTTCAGCAGATTTACTTTCAAATTTCTGTAGCATCTTTGACAATGAAGAATCTTCTTTTTTTTTTTTCTGTACTAATCCCAGCAGTAGGTTTATCTGGCCTTCCTGTAAATAACCTCACCCGCTTTTCTTCACTGACTTCACCAAGGCAGCAATTACATGGGTAGGGCCTGCTTTTTTGGGCATCTTTCTCCCATATTCCTCTGCTGTAGCATTAATGACAACAGGTTAAGCTGATTTGTAAGCAAGTAACACTGCAGCTATGGAGAGAGTTGGGAATAAAGCAACTTTTTCATGTTTATGGATGAGTAAGTCAAAATGGTTTGATAAATGTTCAGGTCTCCTCCTCACATATAATGACTTACAAGTAAGTTTCCTGTGTCCAGCGCATAGAACTGAATGCAAACTGAATTCTTCAGGCTTGATAATGAGAACAGTATGTATTATAAACCAAGTACCCCTGGAGAAACCCAGTATATCCACCAGAAGTTCCACATCAAATTGAAAAGCTGTGTTCAAGGAATAATTAGCATAAATGATAGAGAGGAAATTAATTCAGGGAGGAGTAAAGATAAAAATGTGAAAGCTTTATGACACATCAAGGCTGAGGTGCACTTTGTGTTCCTCTGCTCGTGCTCTTTGGGATCTGACTTTAGAGAAGAGGGAAGACCATATGGAAAAATCAGAAAGGCACCTACTGAGAAACAGCTCTTAGTTCTGTGACCTTCTGGCTCGCCCTCACTGTTTGCTTACAGCAAAAGGAAGAGCTGCATAAAGACACAATCTTTACCTTAGGGAAGTTTCACAGCTTGCTGCTTATTTCCTACCAGCCCTCCAGGATGCCAATTTGAAATCCCTAGGGTCCTCAACTCTTAAGAAAAACAGGAACAAGTGCAAACCAGAGTCTAATATAACTTTTAGCAGAACATTTAATCCTTCCTACATCAGTATTATCACTAAGGCCAAGGCACAGCTTCAAACTTCTGAGCAGTCACCTACTGCTCTTCCTATTACCGAGAATCAAACTGTTATTCTACAGAAACACAGAAGCATAATCTGCAATTCACGACACCCAGAATACAAAATGAGGTATCAAAGAGTTCAATGAGGCAACAAAAAGAATAAATGCTTGAAAAAGTGGATTTGTTCCCAAAGAACAAATTAATACCTTTGTGTTCGTAACAAAGAGCTCCCACATGTATGTTGCAAACTTTTCCTCTTCGATTTCCTTCACTGATTTTTTAAAGCCACCAGGGTCCCTAAGTAAAAACAACATAATTAGTTTCCTATTTCAAGAGTTCTTCTTATTAACCTCTTTTAAGATCATAATGAAAAGAGGGCAAATGGTGACTGATTATGACATGTTTGCTTACAAGACAGACAACACAAGCAGTACAGGCCATGAGTGAGCCATAGTCACAAGGCAGCACGGTAATTCTTGCAAACTACCAGACGTACTGAGCCAGATTATCCTCTCCTCTTTCTCTGTGCAAGACTTCATGGATCAGAATGATGGCAATTTCATGCAAAAGTTTGGTTTTTCTATCCTGTTGGCTGAGTGAGGACCTCTATTAGCAGGTCATTGCTGAGGTTGTCTCATTTATCATTCAATCCCCATCTAATCAGCCATAAATTTTACAAAGCAGATTAATGTTCTAAGCTTGCTCTCTTCACTACATTTAAACATCTTTTTTGTATACACAGATGCTATATGATCTGAAGGAAAGCATAATTTTTCAAGGTTACTGCACAATGAAGTATATGTTGGCTTATCAGTTCAGATGACGTTGAGGAAGAGGAGTGGTATGGGAGACTGCAATAGAAAGTAGAAGGAAGAAGAAACAGCACTACTTTTATATCTGGAAATGACTCCAGAGTCTTATACATTAACACCCTGCTGTCAGCATCTGTCTATTGGTCAGTCCTCATATGTAAAGGGGTGAAAGATCCATCCATGATACACAATGGACTGATTCTCCTCCAGGCTAATTCTACATAATGCCACTCTTGTTCTGTATAGGCACAGTTTGTCTTCATTGAGAATACACAGAGAAAACAGAACAACTCTGAAGAGATTTGCCCTGCAAATCAGAGCATGAACTGTACAAAGTTTGTGAATAATTCAAATAAATGTTAAGTCAACATTGTTGTATTTATAGATAAAAATTGAGAACTTAAACATTTACTTCCAACAGCATAAAAGTTCAGGAGCAATGCACCTTCTGTAAGTACCTACCACTGTCATGCATCACTGATAGAATGAAAACAACAGCTAAATATCCCTTAATAGCTGGCTTTGTTCTGTAATTAAAATGCATCTGGAATTCCTGTTCAGTTAGGGAATATCCCTCTAAGGAATGCTTCAGGAACATGCATACATACATTACTACATGTTTCTAGTTCACATAATGATTAGCAAAAGGATAAAGGAAGGAAAACAAGTTCACTGTGTTAGCTCAGTATTTTCTGCTAAGACTTCACTTAGTGAAAAAAGAGAAAAAAACAACTAATGGCATAAGATTCCCAAACTCTCATTCCAAAGACTATTGTGAATTGCATACGTACGTTAGATTCCAGCAGGATAATATAGAATGCATTGAACTGCTGGATTCAAGAGTCAGAGCTTCCAAAAGCCAATGTATGGCACACAGCTGGCGGAAAAAACATTCACTGCAAAAAGAAGAGACAAATGTGTTATGCTACAGATAGGAAAACGTAGTCAAGCTGCCACTGTGTTGACTGAAATAGATGTATCTAACAGTAAAAGAAGGTTTTGTCGATAAAAATCAATTCTGCACCAGAGTACTTCCATTGACCCAGTGAATCCTACACATCCTTCAAGGTTTTTTTAATGTTGAAACATATTTTTGAACACAAAGCTCCTCAGGGGACATGACTTTGTGATATGCTCAGCACTTTCACACCTATGAGGATTCCAACATCTATGAAGTGGTGATTTGGATTCTGTGGTAGGTTCTACAACTTTGCAATTGAGAATAGGCAGCGTATGAATTCAAAATGCCAAACCACGATTTTTATGAACTAAGACTATCTTCAGGAGAATCAACTTTTTACTTGGGAAGATAGTGATAGGACAAGGGGGATGGCTTTAACTTCAAGGAGGGGAAGTTTGGAATGGATATCAAGGGGAACCTCTTCACAGATAGAGTGGTGAGGTGCTGGAACAGCTGCCCAGAGAAGCTCCTGTATGGAGGTTTTCAAGACCAGCTTGGATGGAGCCCTGGGCAGCCTGGTCTAATGCCAGATCTGGAGGCTGGTGGTCCTGCCTATGGCAGGGGGGTTGGAAATCGATGCTCTTTGGGGTCCCTTCCAACCCAAGCCATTCTAAGATTAGCACTGTAGCTTAATCCACATGCAAGTATAGATATAAAGACACTTTTGGTGAGCAAGAGGTTCATGAACTTAGAACAAAATAATGTGCATTGTATATGCACTGTGTTCTCCCTCTTTCTTAGGCCTGATTTTTTTTGTTTTAAATTGTTTTTAATCTAGGAAATTAAACTTGTTTTTAATCTAGGAAAAACAAAATTTAACTTTGACAGCCTTTCCTCAAAACACCACGTATGCAGATTTGATGCAAATAAGTCAGAATACGCTAAATCAAGACCTGGGAGCAAACGATGCCTTCAAATATACCTTCGTGCTTCAGAGGGTCTTGGAATCAGGACACTGCTATAAATGGGAGCATAAGACCGTAAGGTCATCTTTTTTTTCTTCTTCCCTGATTTTTTTGGGTGGCTGCCTTCTATTGGAGAGGAACTGTCAGAAAGAATGAAGATGGAAGTTAAAGAAGGGAGCATATAAAAGGAAGACTATTTAATGATTAAATAGAGAGAAAACCAGAAGGAGGTGCTAATAGGGCTGAACTAGCCAATAAATCCATTCTGCAAGCCACACCACAAATTCTGCATGCAGTTCATTATTCTCAGTGCTGTGGTTACAATGGACAGCAAAAACATGGCAAACTCTCAGCAGATCTCCCCTTCAAATAATCATTTCTAAGTGCCTACAAAACCTCCCTCCGTTCACCCTAATTTTCCATCTTCCAAGCTTCCTCCTTTTTTTTAACAGTGCAACAAGCACTTTTTGGTCCATAATTGTTAAGTTCATGTGTGCTCACTGAGATTTTTAAGCATTTTCTCTTCAAGTTCATAGTAATTACTAGTAATATTCTGCCTCAGTGACAGAAATGGAGATTGTCTCGTTTTAAAACCACTGACTTTAGACTACAAGAAATCCTCTGAATCAACTTACGTGTTCATTTCTTCATCTGACATCTCTACCTCAGAAGAATATTTGCATGGCTGGAAGTCAGTTCTCCATCTCGTTACCTGAGACTTTTCTGCTTTCAATGCTTTCTTCTGCTCCAGTGACTCTTGGTGAAGGATATGAAAATATTCTCCACCCTGCTTCACAATACTTATATGATGCCTGCAAAAAAAAAATCTCGTTTTATAATGTGTGCCAAAGACACCAACTTAAATTTTAAGAAATGTTGCATTCTTTGCATTCACATTCTTCTATAACCAAGAGTTCAACACCAGCATTTCCTTTTGCAATATGATAACAAAGGATAATTTCCCAATATGAACTGGGAGATCTTTCCATCACCTCTTTCAGAGCTGTTGGATGTTGGAGTTTAACAACTGAACTCAACACCATGGTGTTCAGTACTTGATTTAAAAACTCCCTGCCTAATTCTAACTTATAGCAGCCAATGGACTACTGGGCCCCCTATCCATCACATGCTATAACAGGCTGTGCCCTGAAGCTACCAGGAAAGGTAACAGGCAGGGAATTATTGCAAAAGCAGGAAACGAGAGGAAACCAAAATGCAAAACCTGTTGGATGACAGCAGAAGTAAAAATAAAAAAAAAAACCCAAAAGTAAAAAAAGCAAAGGTGAGCCAGGGCAGAGAAAGGCTTAAAGCATTAACTAATTATTAAACCATTAACTGTAAAGTAGCAGATAATCCAAGCCAGACAAGGGCATGCTGTTCAGGCATAGGATGCAGCCCTTTAAATTAGCACAGTGCTGACTTTCAAATTAGGTGTCATCAGGCTGCATTGATTCTTTCTCTATCTAGTCTTGAAAGATTGGCCTTGTTTCTTTTACTGAAGTTAACAGCCTCCCTTTAACAACCAGAAATACGTTAAAGCACCTGAAGATCACAGAGAGTACAAATTTCAGCCGCAGAGCTCACAAGTTCTCAATTGGAGTGGTTTGCTCCCTCCTTGCTTTCCTTGATGAAAAGCGATTTGCACAGCTTAATGGTTGGAGGACTTGGTTTTGTCAGCCTTATTTTTAAGTCCACCGATCATAAACAAAGTCCAAACAGCTTCCATGTTCAGGCAGATGATAGCCCACCTGCTTGCTATTTCTCTGCTAACTTTGGAAAGAAATTAAATGAGAAAATAAGATGTCTCCAATAAGAAATACTGTGTGCTTTAAAAACATGAGGATTTCAGAGCTGTGTGTGACACGGCTTTTTTCTTCCATAGAACCCCAGTATTTTGAGTAACAGGCATTTATTGGAATGGTAGAAAATAACCCCACACTCCTGCTTTATGCACTTCTCCAGTAGTTCTCACTCATTTCTCTCAACCATGAAGATACTGGTATGAAAAAGGTTTATATAAGCATTCCCTCTTAAGGATCAAAACCATTGCTGTAGCTGCACTCTGTGACCATACAAAGAGTGAACAATGAGGTTGTCACATGAAATGAGACAACTGATAGAAACAGATGGTTATAAACCAGAAAGATGCTTTTTGTTTGCTCATTGTGCGGTTGCTTCTTTTAATATTAATGGCCACAACCAGTCATATGAGAGAAAGATGTGTACATGGCAACTGGGAGAGTAAAGTACAATTTTAAAAATATTATGGAGTATAATTAATATTGAGGGATTTAATATGTGCATGCAAAAAACGATGATCCTTGTCATACACTAATAGGAAAAGAAAAGCTACACACACTTGTGAACAAACATCCTGAGTCTGACTTCCTTGAAGTCTCAGGCATTACAGCAGATAGCTCTGCAGTCTGCAAGACAAGAAATGAAATAAACAGAAGCATGGCATACAGAAGAGTTTTAACAAGAGACAAACAGACAAAAATTCCTCATAATTCCACTGAATTATTTCAGGAATATTTATGAATTACCCCAAACATTCACTGACTCCAGTCAGAGAAACTGTAAAATAAATCCAAGCATAGAATATAGAGGACCAATACAGAATGAGGTGACCAATGTACTTTTCTGCACTACTGATTTGTAGTACGTAGCTAGAATAGGACATCAAATATTTCTACATTTGAATTCTGGTATCAGGACACCCTGTTCATACCATAACATAATAAATCCAGCTGGGTTGCCTATTTGACAAGTAGGTGAGAATTATTCATTAAAACGCAAATAAAATCACTGATGAACTTTTCAGTGTGTTTATTAAAATAATGGAGCTTCAGTCAATTTTAGTCACAACACAGATTTTCAACTGTGTTTCAGACAAAAGAACATTCTTTCCAAGTTAAGAAGTTCGTTAGCAAAGTAGTTGCAGTCTACTCATGCTAGCTTAATTCTTCCTCTCTCCAAGACCTAACGTTATGGTCACAGTGAACAAAAGCTGAGTTGTGAGCCTTAAGGATAATAACTATCCATCAAACAATTTAACTACACACAGATAATTCCTCTGATCATGGAAATTGCTAGTCACTGTTTCATAGCGTTTACTTATCTTAATGGAAAAAGGCTTTCTAGCAATAAAGCTAATGAAAGAACATCGTCTGCTCCAGACAACGTACAGCAGAAATGCAACCTTTTTCCACAGGCATGGAGCCAATTGTAAATTGAGATAAAAGAAAATACATTTGCACACGGAGCTGTTTTTACTTACGAAGGACGAAAAGAACAACAGGAGACCGAACTCTGCGTTTGTTGCAGACTGTCAATGGTAATATCCATTTACACCAATGGAGAATCTGCTCCTTTCTCTTATCAGTGAATACTGGAGCTGTTGACCACTGCACTCAATTCTTTAGCACCCTTACATCCAGTGTGATAACACACATACATACATGTATATGTATATATATACGTATATATATGTGCCCGTATGTCCATAAGTTAGTTACATTAAGATCACTTCGCACCTTTGGGATCCTGTGAGGTGAGAAAGTCTCGCTGTAAATGAGGATTAGAGAGTTGTTCACTTAAAATATAACCAGTGAGTTATTAAAGAGCGGCTACATGACCCTCCTTAAATTACCAGCAGCCATGAGAGGTGAGCCTGAAAGAGCAAGTCCTGCTCTTGTGCTTCACACGGCATTTGGGTTGTGTTCTGAAAGCTCAGCACATGGGAAAAAGACAGGTACTCACAATTAATATGCAGATACTAATGAAAATGAATGAAATGAATTAAGAATTTGGGTTAGGTTGTGTTTATAACCAAGCTAAAGAGATACAAGTGTACGCACAAGGCAATGGAAAATCAGGAACAAAACAGTTACTATTCCTATTTAATGGCTGAGTAATCACACAACAAGAGCCTAATAGGTAAATATTCACACTTCTGTTTTCCCTAAGTTCAGTTAATACCAGATTATAATTACATTAAGATCTTTAAATGCAGTTACCAACCCATAGAAACTCTGACATATGTTATCATTTACCACACTGAACCAACCACTGAACGTTCTGGCAAGAAACTGAAGTGGCACCAGATCAACATCTGCCTTGAGCTGAAGTCACACACGCAATCTGGAATACCCACATTATTTTGGATGTAGATTTCCATTTTGTTCTCCTGAAGATGAGTACAATAATCTGTACTCAAATGGGTTCGTTTCTAAACAAAACAAGCCAACAGAAACACCCTCCAAAAAACCATGCACCAAAAAATAACAAAACCAAAGCAAGCCCTGTATGAAGGCAGCTCCCTCAGCCCGTCTTCGTAAGAAGACAGCAGATCTCCAGTAGCTCCATGTCTTCTTTATGCTAGGGCACCAGACCCGGATGCGATACTCCAGATGAGGCATCACAAGGGCAGAGTAGGAAGAAGATCAATCTTCTTGCCTTAGCACGCAAAGGTATTTACAGAACAATGACATTTTAATACTAAATAATGGAAAACTCATTTTAAGTGTTAGCTTTGTTCAACCATTCAGTGACAACACGTCATTTTGTTCCACGATACATGGAATTAGGCTGTCATGTTTAGATAGCAAAATCTAATAAGCAACGAACTGCTTGCACTTACAAAAATTCAAATACAAATATATTTTTGCAGGAGAAGAAAGGAAATGGAGACTCAAATGAACAGTCTGGGAGGGCAGAATTGTTGATGGGAATAGCAGTCTTTCCAGTGATTGATGATAGGGATAATGATTCATACATCCATACACATAAGTGGATGTCTTTGGCTGTGACTGCTGTCTAATTAATGTGAGCCATCACTCACCTAAAAGAAAATTTTTGCTTCTGGAAATAAAATGCTACAAAGTGCCAGCAGTGACAGTGCTAGAAACATGACAATTAGAGTGATTTCTGCCAACCAGGAAAAGGGCACAGAACACTGGTTTCCAAGCAACTGACATTATGAAGTATTAAGTACACTGGAAACTAATATTGGCAGATAAACATTTCACCTTCTCTGTTTCTGCCACCTGACTCTCTTTTTTGCTTCTTAACTCAGTGTTGCCTCTCCTTCCCACTCTCACACACTCAGCTGGATCATCTAGCAAACCATTTGCATTAAGGAATGCCAACTTAGCAGAATCTCCAAACACTGAAGTCTTTTTCATCTCTCTATACATATAGATAGGATTGGTGTAGATTCACAGGCAAGGATAGCAAAGTTCATAACCCAAACTCCAAAATCAACACGCTTCTTTGCCTTTCAAAATCTTCCCATAATAGCTACCACATCAATCAGAAAAGTTAAGTGGCGTTATAATAAGAAATACCCAAAGACAGCTAGTTACAAAGCTGCTCACAGGAAGACAAGTAACAGGAACAGCTCTTAGGGTACGTCAGTCTAACTGTTGTTGCAGGCATAAAGGATGCATTAACAGAGCCTGGGCTTTCTGTATAGAGACTGACTTTTAGAGATCTGCCTTCAGAAAACTTGAAGCATTGAAAAGAAACATCTAGTTTCTAATTTAAAGCCAGCCAATGGAATACTATTAAACTGCCAGCAGTCTGACATACAGTTTTATTCAACTAGCTCTACTAAAACAGATGCAAGGGAACTAATTTTCTTCCAACTACCAAAAATGCACTGCATTACAAGGGGTTAACACAGCCCTTTTGGAAATAAAGGCTTGAGTGGCTCACGAAATGGCACGGACTGCTTCCCTTTGAGCATGTAGCTCCAAGCTGTCAATTCCTAGATATCACTGATGGGGGATGATCACAACTTGTCACTGTC